CTCTCTCTCTCTCTCTCAAAAAGAAATAAACATTAAAAAAAAAATAGACTTCCAACCCCTGATATGTATACCTAGTTGTCCTGACTATAGTGTAAAGGACTCTTTACCCCCGCAAAGCATCTCGGGTGCCTTTTCTACAAGTAATCGGGGGCTCCCGGCTGCCTCAATTGGTGGAGCGTGTGACTCTTGATCTCGGGTCGTGAGTTTGAGCCCCACGTTCGGGGTAGAGGTTACTTAAAATAAATACGCTTAAAAATATATTTAAAAAATACAAGCAGCCCTGTGTGTCAGGGTGCATTTCTGGGTTCCCTATTCTGTCCCTTCAAGCTGTACGTCCGTCTTTACCCCAACACGCACTGGTTGCATGAACATCACTTCAGAGTCAGTCTCGAGGTCCACGGTATCCTTCTTCCAACTCTGCCCTTTTTCTGACCCTTCCATCCATTTTAGGTTCTTTGCCTCATTTCCACTTACATTTTAGAATGTTAGACAACAAGGCTGCAGGGACTCTGGTCAGGATCACGCTGAGTTTACAGAAGGACCGGGGGCGGCGGGGACAGAAAGGTCACCGGGCCTTTGACGCCCCGAAGGCGCCACGTGTTCTTTGGGTGGAGGTTTTCCGTGGTTCCCGACTGCGGGAGTCATTTCCCTTGTCTTTTGTCCTGGTTTTTCTGATGCTGCTCCCCTGGCTGTGCTGTGTTCGTTCTGTTTCCTCCGGGTCGGCATTTTCTCTTTATCTGAGTGGTTTTATTTGTATTTACCTTGTTTGGGCTTTGCCGAGCGTCTGTCTTCACAGCGTTTTTCAGGATGTTTAGCAAATGTTCAGCCATTATTTCTTCACACGTTTGTTCTCACCGCCTCTCCCTGCGCTTTGCTGGGAATCAAGTGCGCCACTTGGAGGGGCAGGGGCCCCGTTCCTACCGGCCTGTCCCCAGCTCGGCTGGCGCGGGGAGGGGACGGCACCCCGAGCCTGCCGCCCGCCTCCCCGGGGACACCCGGGCTGGGAGCCTCGGGATTTGGTAGATCCACTGCCCGCCCCCTTGCCTTCTCCGGTGCCCTCAGGGTGGTTTGCAGAGGCTTTGTCTGAAGACCTGCTCACAGCGTGCCCGTGCCCGGGGCGCTGGGATTTCGGGGCGGAGAATCTGGGAGTGTGGACTCTTCCGTTGGGCGTATCTGTGACCATCTCTCATCTCGACACCACTGTGTCCACGGTCGTGGCCCCGGGCTCCTTTGGCGTCCCCGTGTTTCAGAGTGGCTTCGCTCTCCCCCTCGGGGCCAACACCGGAGCCAACCTCGCTGTCCCCGCGCTGTCCTCGCGCTGTCCCCGGACCTGGCGTCCCCAGGCTCCAGGCTCCTCATGCTCCGGAGGCCGGGCCGCAGACGGAGTTGTTAATCCTGCACGGGTGACCTGGAGGTGGCGGGCTCCCTCCCCTGCGGCCACAGCCTCAAGGTCAGGGTTTTTGCCGTCCTTTGTTGTCTGTAGCAGATGGACCGCTGAGGGCAGGTCCGTCTCTTCCGTGCGGTGACGTCATCCAGCGACTGGGCGATCGTACTGTTTCTGTTCGCCTCCAACTTTGTTTTGTCCCCATCTCTGTAGTGGTTCCCAAAGTCATAACCGCGGCAAGCTCTGTGCAGAGAAATGTCCGTCTCCCCACAGCCGCCCCCGCCCCCGGGCGTGCTTCACTCGCCCCGTCTCGTTCCTTCTGCAAGAATGAGCACCGATGCACACCCAGCTTTGAATTCCTCCCCTGACACACGCAAGAGAGCGTGATTTTCCACTTTGCCTTTTCTTCGCTTAACACCATCCCGGAGGCCACGGTGGCTTCCTCGCGCCCAGGCTGTCCGCCGCCTGCCACGGACATTTACACGCTGTCTGCCGTTTCGCAATTTCCAAGAACGCTGCAGGGAATGCGCGTGTGCACACGTGCTCGCGGCTGTTGGTTTTCAGTGGCCGCAAGTGTGCGTTCGGGATGACGCGTGGGGCGTCTTTCTGCACCCCTGCCGAGTCCCCGCAGAGGGCTCACGGGCTCGCCCCCTTCGGCGCCCGTCTCCCCGCCGCCTTGCCAGCCGAGCGTGCAGTCTCTGTTTGCACCCATCCGAGGGGGAAGGAGTGACAGCTCGGCGGGATCGAGGCCCGCTTTCTCCCTATTTTATGGTAGGGGTCGGCCCGACTTTTATTTGGTTTCTAGATATCTTTCGAACAGCCTTGCAGAGGTACAATTAGCGATGAAAAGCTGCATGTGAAGTGACCATGAAATAAGTTTGGATATATTTATATGCCAAGAAGACTATCACGGTCAAAGTAATGAAACTATTTGTGACCCCCAGTGTTTCCTCCGACCCCCCGCTCCCCACCCCTGGAAAGTACTGATCTGTTTTCTGTCACTGGACATTACCTTGCCTTTCTGGGATTTTATTGGTTTGTTTGCTTATTTATTTAAATGTTTATTTTTGAGAGAGAGAGAGAGAGAGAGAACAGGGGAGGGGCAGAGAGAGAGGGAGACACAGAATCCGAAGCAGGCTCCAGGCTCCGAGCTGTCAGCACAGAGCCCGACGTGGGGCTCGAACCCACGAACCGCGAGATCACGACCTGAGCCGAAATCAAGAGTTGGACGCTTACCCGACTGGGCCACTCAGGCGCCCTTTGATGTTTTTAATTTTAACAAATACGTATGTTCTGATCTCTCATTGTATTCTTAATTTTCGTTTCCTTATGAAATGTTATGTCTGTTCCTCATGTCTGTTTCACATCTTTTGCCCATTTTTTTGTTTTTAAATTTTTCTTAAAGATTTTGTTTTTAAGTAATCTCTCTATACACAACCTGGGGCTTGAACTCACAACCCCAAGATCAAGAGTCACATGCTCCATCCATTGAGCCAGCCAGGCGCCCCTCTTTCGGCCATTAAAAAAAAATTAAATTGTTTGAGAACAAATTTTAATGTTTGTTTTCTTAATATTAGTATTATATTTTTAAAATTTACATCCAAGTTAGTTACCATATGGTGCAACAATGATTTCAGGAGTAGATTCCAGTGATTCATCCCTTACGTGTAACACCCAGTGCTCATCCCAAGTGTCTTCCTTAAGCCCCTTCCCCATTTAGCCCATCCCCCCTCCTACAACCCCTCCAGCAATCCTCTGGTCTCTATATTTAAGAGTTTCTTATGTTTTGTCCCCCTCCCTGTTTTTATATTCTTTTTGTTTCCCTTCCTTTATGTTCATCTGTTTTGTCTCTTAAAGTCCTCATATGAGTGAAGTCATAGAATTTTTGTCTTTCTCTAATTTCACTCAGCATAATACCCTCCAGTTCCATCCACGTCGTTTCCAATGGCAAGATTTCATTCTTTTTGATTGCCGAGTAATACTCCATTGTATATATAAACCACATCTTCTTTATCCATTCATCCATCGATGGACATTTGGGTTCTTTCCATACTTTGGCTATTTTGATAGTGCTGCTATAAACACTGGGGTGCATGTGCCCCTTCAAAATCCCACTTGGTCGTGGTGAATAATTCTTTTAATGTATTGTTGGATCCAGTTGGCTAGTATATTGTTGAGGATTTTTGCATCCATGTTCATCAGGGAAATTGGTCTATAGTTCTCCTTTTTAGTGGGGTCTCTGTCTGGTTTTGGAATCAAGGTAATGCTGGCTTTATCCCTTAGATAAATGCCTAGTAGTGCAACTGTTGGGTCGTAGGGTAGTTCTATTTTTAGTTTTTTGAGGAACCTCCATACTGTTTTCCAGAGTGGTTGCACCAGTTTGTTTGCATTCCCACCAGCAGCGCAAAAGAGATCCTCTCTCTCCGCATCCTCGCCAACATCTGTTGTTGCCTGAGTTGTTAATTTTAGCCATTCTGACAGGTGTGAGGTGGTATCTCATTGTGGTTTTAATTTGTATTTCCCTGATGATGAGTGATGTTGAGCATTTTTTCATGTGTCTGTCAACCATCTGGATGTCTTCTTTGGAGAAG